TGAGTTACCAGACTGCCCAGAAAGTCCTGAGTGCAGACAGAGACGACCAGATTAAAGTGTTACAGGACCTCAGCCAGAACTTCCCCTCCAAAACTAGGTAGGGCTCATGCTTATTTTAATACTTTGACCACTACTTAGTAGTCATGAAATATATTTGCAAGTGTCCTTTTATGGATACTTGTTTGCCAATTGTCTGTATTCATTTTACTGCTATGTAGCAGGGAAATTAAATGTCATTCTTCTGTCTGTCCTTTTGTGTGTCTGTCTCAAAAAAATTTAACCTTGATCATATCTTTTAAATGAGAAAAAATTGAGCTTTGAATTCATATTTTACATTTGTTATCTGTAGCAAGAACTTTCCAAATGTAGTATGTTGTTTGACCTCCTGGCCTTGACTTTGAAGTTTAATCTACATGAACATGTACTTTCCAATTTTTTTAACATTGTTAATTTTTTAGGTCACCTGAGTAAACTCAGGTGACCTATTGCTATCCGTTTTCGTCCGTCGTCGTTCGTCGTGCGTTAACATTTGAACATTTTCAGCTTCTTCTCTGCAACCGCTGAACCAATTTCAACCAAATTTGGCACAAAGCATCTATGGGTGAAGGGGAACAAAGTTTTTGAATTTCATGATCCCTGCCCCCCTGGGGCCTGAGGGGTGGGGCCAAAACCACTAAAATTAATGCAATCTTTAAAAATCTTCTTCTTTACTCCTGGACATCAAGCAATCGAACTGTTTGCATGATTGTAATCAGCAATGAGTCCTCTACCAAAATGTGAAATTCATGGCCCTGGGGTCAGGGGTTCTAGTGCTAGGGTGGGGCTAAATAAGTAGGAAGTGAAAATGCATTATTTCTTTGAAAATCTTCTTCTCTGCTCCTGGGTATTAAATAAACCAACAAAGTACATAGTTATGATGAGCAAGAGTGCCTCTACCAAAATTGTGAAATTTATGGCCCCAGGGTCAGGGGTTCCGGTGTTAGGGCGGGGCTCTATTAATTATATAGTGAAAATACATTATTTCTTTGAAAATCTTCTTCTCTGCTCCTGGGTATTAAATAAACTAACTAAGTACATAGTTATGATGAGCAAGAGTGCCTCTACCAAAATTGTGAATTTTATGGCCCCAGGGTCAGGGGTTCTTGTTTTAGGGTGGGGCTCTAATGATTATATAGTGAATTGCATGAATTCTTTGAACATCTTATCCTTTGCTCCTGGTTAATATGCTAATGATCTAATTACATATTTAGGGCCAGGATTTATTTTATTTTCAGTTGTACAAAGCCTCCGCTCAAGGTTTTGAATTTTCAGAAAAAATAAAACAATTTTTTTCTTTCCAATGTCAAATATGAGTCGGGATCGAGATTTCAAATTTACGAGCTCGCACTTCCGGTTTTAAGATGAAACGGTGGGTAAATAAAGCTAGCTTGGTTTAGTGTAAAATTCATCGATACGAGTGCCATTCAAAATGTTTCACCCGTTCAAAGGACAAATAAAATGCTGACGACTTTGTTGCACAATGACATGCTGGTGAGATAATTATGTATTCGTTTCAAAAGTTTCTGTCTGTAAATTATTTTCCTCCCCCAGGTTTTAAACTGCCCGTGGTAGCTATTGCATATTGCCAGCGACTTTGTTTAGGTCTCTGTTATAGCTTACAGTCTAAGCATCATTCTTCAGATAAGGGTTGCTTATGCATCAGATGTAATGAATAAAACTATGGGAGAAGTTAAGTCCATTTGAGGTCAGAAGAAATGAACAATAACCTGAAGACATAAAAAAAAATTCGACTATTAAAAGGCAAGAATATACAAATATATACAGGCATGTAGTATCATTTGTATCGGCCAGAGAAATTATTTTACACTTAATTGAAAAAATGTTCACCGTACTCCCCAATACTCCCTGTCTGTTTTATGATAGGAATTATAATTTTAGGCATCAAGTAAATTTTAGAACAATGTCTACACATTCACCTAACACATATTAAAGAAATGAAGATATATTGAAAGACTTTTAAAGAATTGATTTTTTAAAATATATTTTGACCAACATCACAAAATTTATATAACTGGCCCAAACTGGAAGATGATGAAATAAGCAATTAAATGTTCTACTTTCCTATTTGTAAGCATTATGTGTCCAGTGGTAAGGGGCCTATTAGAATAGCATAAAAAAAGAATGTACAATTGATTTATCAAAATTTTTTTTTTATTTCCTTTTCCTTCGGGACTTTTTTATTCTCATGTTCATAACTAGACCTAAACATAAAAAAAAATGCTGGCCTTATAATGAAGAGAGGGGCCTCTTTCAAAATAGATAAATTCAGGGCCACTGGGTCAGGGGTACTTTGACTAAAAATAAATTAATGCTTTGAAATCTGCCCTTTGATAAGCAATGGTGCCTCTTTCAAAATTTGTGAATTTCATGGCTTTTGGATTAAAACACAAACCAAATACGATCGCTGGAAAGTTGTTACATGATACTCAGGTGACCTATAAGGCCCGTGGGCCTCTTGTTTAATGAGAGAAGAAACAGCTTTCTTATTTTCCTTGTACTTCATTTGTGACAATAATTTTCAAGAAGTACATGTACTATCAATTTTGACCTCATGTCCTTGACATTTAACCTAGGAACAATTCTGGTCAAATGGATATGTCAATCTTTCTTTCATTTTATATCAAAATTGTAGATCTTTGTCAAAAGTTGCTGTGAAGAGTGAGGTCAAAAATGAAATATCTCAGAACAGAAAGGTAGGTTTGCTAATGTACTTTTTGAGATTATCAAACAAGAACAGAAAAACTTGGAATTTCTTTTGGTTTATTGATGGTCAATCTATGAAGTCAGTTGAGGACGCAAAAAGTCTTTATTAAATGTTGTAAACTTTAAACATTGTCCTGAAAAAAATGTAATAAATTGAATTTATGCATATTTGTTCCTGAATCTAACTTACTAGATGTAAATACATGTACAGTACATGAAACTGCTAAATTTTTTGAGTGATAATTTAGAATTTTGATGATCTGAATATTGGTACTGGAGAGTCAGCTATGTTTTTGAATGGCATTCCTGTTGAGATGGAGGTCTATGATATATACACACTGCTGGATCTAATGAAATCAGAGGCCAGAATTATGGAGGGGCTCTTCTCAATGGGATTCAAGGCAAGTTGTTAGCTGTATTTTACCCTCATAGGGACTGGGGTTGTATTGTAATATTATCTTCCTGTACTTTTTAAATTTATGTTGTCACCAAATATTTAAACAGTAGATACAAAATATAAGAATTTATCTTTTTGTCTATGAACTTTTTAATCAAAGGTTGTATTCAGAATAAAAAAAAATTGTGATTAAATTATAGGGTGATGAATTAGAAAAGTTTATGCGTTTGGACCTAGGAGGAGATTCAAAGGAGTTTGCTTTGGATATCAGACACACAGCTATACAGGTAAAAGATTAATACCTTTTGTCTTAAACATTTTAACAATGATATAAGAATTGTGATTCTTAATAATGACCTATTGTTTCCAAATTAAATATAGTTTCAGAATTAAAGCAGTCTATAAAATGTTAAACAATATTGGTTGCATTTTGGAATCTCATAAAATAATTGGTTGATGTGAATAGTTATACATGTATGTGATTATGAAAATATTTGACCTTGACAGTTTTTGAATGACCTGGAAAATGACAAGAAGTACAAAAACTGGCCGAGCAGTGTCCAGGATATTCTGAGGCCAACCTTCCCAGGAATGCTGCGACATGTCGCCAAAAACTTCTTCCACCTGGTAAATTATCACAAGATTGTTTCCTTATAATAATCATGATTATAATGTTTTATTTTTATTATTGCAAACTGTGCACTATAATTTTGAACATTATGCTAGCTTAAATGTAACAAGCAATAATTCAATCATAACTTTTAAAATGTCCAAGATACCTAAATTTGCCGACAGGCTGCCATGGTCTTTAATGAAGCCCAAAATTCATTAATGTGTTGAAATGATTTACCCTGAAATTGATTTTCAGGTATTTTTTGTGGATCCTACAAGACAAACAGACATAGAATTAATAAAAATGGCTGAGGCCTTCCTGGTTCACAGTGCTCCAATCAGATTGAGCGTTGTGTTTGTTGTGAACTTTGACCTGGAAGCAGATCCTCATGAAGATGCTAGTATTGCAATCTCCAGAGCGTTTGACTATATAAGACAGGAACATGATTTTCCCAAAGCTCTTTCATTTGTCACAGATGTATGTAGAATTCTGTTCACTTCTTCTGAAAATACAAAAATTTATACAAAATATAAAGATTTAATTTGATTCTCAGTGAAAGAGAACCTAAAAACTGTAGGAACAGAACTAGAAAATTGAAAAAAGGACATTTTATTTGAACAAAATACAATAATTCTGTAATATACGAGGGTTGTCCCGTAAAATCGTGGACAAGTTGTCTAGTTTGAAAAATAATTATCACTGCGTTCTGAAATTTTCACAACTTTTTAGTAGATAAATTATGAATATACACAGCAAATTTCAAATAGATATATGCATAGGTAAACAAATTGTGATATTTTATGTTATGTACTGTATCGCCCTACGGCGCACGGATGATAACGTCAAAGTGTCTAAAACAGCGTCACGTTTCATATTTGCTAAACTTAAAGTTGGATAAGCCCCACTTAAATTTAGAAATTTTATTGATTTACATATGTGAGTATCTATAACCAGTTAAGAAACCAATGTGGCACACTCATGCGATCTTCTGAATATTTATTAGCAAGTTACAGACAGTATTCTCACCATCATTCAACTAAAAGAGAATATCACATCGACGGTCGACAGTGACAGCGTCCTTTGCTATTACAAATGGCAGTCTGTCCATATGTTTTGTACTATCTGGGGACTCGACCACGAAGACTTCACTAAGAAAACTTTCATTTCATTTATATACTAAAGATCTGGTGATATTTTGTCATATTTTCTTTCTTCTGTATTCATTAAAAGTCTCTTAAGGCGTCATTACAACATCCTAATCTATCTGAACTGCTCTCCGATGCGCCGTAACGTCATAAAAAGTCGCCATTTTTCGTGTATTGTGTTTATTACTTTCTTATTTCAAATGCTTGGGAAACTACCAAAAATTAACCAAATGCCTTGAAATTTTTAAAAAGACGACAGAATTGATTAAGGAATGTAATTAGGATAATTTTCATCCTAATCTTATGTATTGAAAACTTTTATTACCAATTAATTCTTATGTCTTCTCTAATATAACCTTGCTATTTTTACCGTGCGCCGTAGGACCATACCTTGTGCACATTCAAGCAGAATAAAATCTTTATTTTTGAATATATATTATCAAAAACATTATGATTCACTTAAATATGATGAATAAACATTTACTGAAAATTTCAGCTTAGTGCGCCCATTACTTTTTGAGAAAAACGCTTTGTCCACGATTTTATGGGACAACCCTCGTACTGGTAGGTTTGTACTAGCATTCATATTTTTATTCAGATTTACGAAAAGGCCAAGGGAGAAGAAATTACAGCCAAGCTGGTTATTAAAGAATTCAAAAAGAAGTATGCTGATGCAGATATGAAGGAAGTGTTTGGCAAAGACAGTGATGAATATGACATTCTCAGAAGAGTAAGACGGAAATTAATTCAAGAATATTATGAATAAAACAAAAATCTACTTAGCCTAATTTATTAATAGAATTTAAAAGACGAGACATTATTTTAAAACATGAAATTATTGTAATCTAGGATATTTTGCTTGTACAATAGAACTCGTTTAGTACGAACACAAATATAGTGAATTTACGGATATAGCGAAGTTTTTCGGGGTCCCCGGCAAAATTCTAAACAATTCTTTGTAAATTTTTGTGGTTATAAGGAAATCTTATATAGTGAATTTACGGATATAGCAAACTGTAGTCCTGTAGAGGTTAAAAATAATGAAATTTACATCTTTTATAACGAATTTTCAAAAATCTCAAAATAAGATATGTTGAACTGACTTTATTTTTAGTAAGAATTTGCAAATTAATGAAATTCAATTCATATCAAAAACCTAAGTTATCCAAGGCATGTGTTGTAATAATTTCTTCCCTACCAAATTCGGTAGTAATACTTGAAGGAAAATGTGCATATTGTAAATTTGCAATATATCCTTATACAAATTTGTTACATGGATATAGCGAATTATGGATATAGCGAATTAAATTAACAGGTCCCCAGGTCTTTGCTGTAACCAAGTATTACTGTATATGCATGTAAAGCCCCATATTATATATTTAAAATTTCATGTCTAAGATTTAAATTATTAATTTTAGGAGGAAGGTCTATTGAGATTTATACATGTTCACTGTATTTCAATTTAAAAACAACTAAGGACGTTTGAATTATTGGATGAAGAAAATTTAAAAGATTTAAATATTAACTTTTTTTCAGGCAGCTAAAGATTATGTGGAGAAGTCTGGACTGGGGAATTTCCCACAGGTCCTGCTGAACGGGAATCCATTAAAGAAGTCCTTCCTGACAGAAGATACTTTTGAGGAGGGCGTGGTCTCTCAAATAATGACACAGACTCCGGACATCCAGAAAGCTGTCTACCAGGTAAGTAAAGGAGGGCGTGGTCTCTCAGATAATGACACAGACTCCAGACATCCAGAAAGCTGTCTATCAGGTAAGTAAAGGAGGGCGTGGTCTCTCAGATAATGTCACAGACTCCAGACATCCAGAAAGCTGTCTAGTAAAGGAGGGCGTGGTCTCTCAAATAATGACACAGACTCCGGACATCCAGAAAGCTGTCTACCAGGTAAGTAAAGGAGGGCGTGGTCTCTCAGATAATGACACAGACTCCAGACATCCAGAAAGCTGTCTATCAGGTAAGTAAAGGAGGGCGTGGTCTCTCAGATAATGTCACAGACTCCAGACATCCAGAAAGCTGTCTAGTAAAGGAGGGCGTGGTCTCTCAAATAATGACACAGACTCCGGACATCCAGAAAGCTGTCTACCAGGTAAGTAAAGGAGGGCGTGGTCTCTCAGATAATGTCACAGACTCCGGACACCCAGAAAGCTGTCTACCAGGTAAGTAAAGGAGGGCGTGGTCTCTCAGATAATGACACAGACTCCAGACATCCAGAAAGCTGTCTATCAGGTAAGTAAAGGGGGGTAGTTTAAATTGTAATTCTTACGAAGTGTACTTGTATGTCTTGCAAAAACTTAATTGAATGAGTAATCATTCATTTTAAATGAAAATCAATGTGTAATTGAGAGTTTCTCTAAAGTGCAATTGACATAATTGTGTAAAGGTAGATGTAATTGTATAAACAAATAAAAATGTAATCTACAAGAGGCATTTAAAATTTATTTACACATACATTTTGAGTCTTTAGTAGTGTCTTAAACTCTGCTCTGTAATAAAAAAATTTATACAGTGTGTATGCACTGAATTATAGATTTATTTGAAATGCAGTAAATACTGTTTTGTTTTTTCTTTTGAAAATCAGGGAAATCTCCATGACTATATGAACATACTTGAGTACCTCATGGAAAAGGAGCATGTACTTCCAAGGTTGAACTCAAGAGTTCTCTCCCCTCCTAAGAAATCCCTGGATTTCACTACTACAGTCGGTCAGTGGACATATTTATTATATCTTATTTTATATTTTTCTGTAACAGTCAGTTTCAAAAGAGGAAAACAGATGGAAATACCTATCACCTTGATTTCATGATAATGTAAAAATAATTTGCTAGAGTTTTGTGTTGAAGCTCTTCAAAATTTTAAATAAGTTCTTTACTTTTATCATAAAGTCAATTGAAAGACAGTCACTGTAAACCAACTTTTATTCACGTGTCTATCAATGAAAGATCAAAAAAGGGGCTTGATTTTGAAAATTTATTGTTCAATGCGTACTAGTTTACACCAGTGAATCAGGTTCCAAAATAAAGTCATCATGAATAAAAGTTGATTTACAGTACAATGTACTGCAATAGTAAGAAAATGATTAATAAAGTTCAATAGATTAAATTTTAATAGCTATTCTTACTGAGTGTATTTATGTGATAATGATTACGTCTCTAAATATCAACATTTTACCGTACTTATAGGGATTGTATTTATTTTTTAGATGATACGCTGAGTTTGGACAGTCTCTATCAAAAGAGCTCGGGAGAGATCACGGCCGTCATGGCTCGAGATATGAAATATCTCACTAGAAAAGGTAAAATGTCTTAAATTCAAAATGTATGAGGATTTGGAATTCAATAAGTCTGAAATTTTTGTCATACTATAAAATAGCAGAGTTCTCTTCCACCTCCAATGTAGTGCAGTAAAACTTGGATATAGTAAAGTCACTGGGACCTGTGAAATTACTTCACTATTTTCATAATTCGTTATATCCTTATAAGGAATTCATAGCTGGGGATCCAAGAAAACTTTGCCATATCTGTGAATTTGCAATATCTGTGTTTGTACTAAACGGGTTTTTCTGTACACATGGTACATGTTCTCAGTTCTTGCACAAATTATGCTCTGTCCCTGAAAATAATTGTACTGTATACAAGGTTAATTTTCCCCATGTTATTTTCACCCTTTTGCCCTTGGCAACAATTTTTCTCCATTTTTAATTCGCCCAGTCATAGTTCTGTTTAAAAAAATGATACTATCATTTAAAATCTCCTCGTTTTAAATTTGCCCACATGTGATTAATGAAAATGGGCAAAATTTTCCTTGTATACAGTAATATACCAATGCTGACATCTTTGGTTTGACTTTTACAGATGAGGAGAGTTTATTTCCTGTCACTGTGTGGGTGGTGTGTGATCTGGAAACCCCCAAAGGGAGGGAACTCCTGTACTCCACCATCAAACAACTGGTAAGCTAAGTATTTTTGCTCTTTTATTGAATACATTGGGAAGCAAAACTAGTTATTAATGGAGGGTATGTTTTCTGTCATCTTTCTATAAAACCACAATAATTTTTTTTCTAGTTCTTTTGTTTAGTTTTGAAATTGGTGTTTGTTGCTAGAACTGTCATTGATGAATTTCAATATTATCCATTCAGAAAATGATTGAAGTAATATCACTTAGACTACATTTCTGCAAAAGTTGTGCAGTACATATACAAGGTATACGCAGTGCGACTTTTGTATTGACCTTGACTGATGTAATTTTTTAAAAAGTAATTATTAACTCCGAAAACTCAAACTGGGACTTAACCATAGAAAAAAACATTTCATAATAAACAGCGTTAGCTATTTTCAGAGTTATTATTAACAATTATCATTATTGTAAACATATATGTTAAAACAAAAATACACTTTATTCATATATACTAGTATGTAAATACTAGTAAATGGCTGAAAAAGACATAAATACATTGGTTGTAACTTTTACTTATTTAATTTGGATGAACAAATCCAATAGCATTTGTATATAAAATTTGTTGTTTTCATATATATGTTTACCAAAGTGATTATCAAGCAAATTATTTAAATATCCAAGTTACAAGTAAAGGTCATAAAAAAAATTATTATGATTCTTAACCAATTAAATTTGATATTTACATGACATGTCTTTCCCCATAAACTTTTCATCTAGTTTAGCTAATATATGGTTTTAATTTGAAGTTTGTAGGTTGACCAAGTGATATTCTTAACTGTTGATGTACCCTTTAAACTCCTCATGTACAAAATTATTCGTACGAAATAATCTAGTGTATGGGTTGAAAGATACTTAAGTGGTTGTCAAATAAAAAAGATGTAGACGAACATAAAATAAGCATAGGGCCTTGTAAATTTAATGCAGCAGCCAAAAAAAAAAAGATGCACGGTTGACATTTTATTTCTCAAATATTGATATCCTAAATACCAATGTTAAAATGAAAAAGTCAAAATTGAATAGGAAGCTCAAACTACATTTTCTTTATGTATTTTAATCTCAGTATCCTGAATCTTATAATATCTCATATTTCTTGTTATCCCCATCAAGTACAGGATATTGAGGTTTGACTTTTTAGACGGAGGCTTAGCCTCCGCTCTATTGGTACCGCTCAGCTGCGGCGGAAGGGAATTTGCGATCGCCATCTAGTGGCTAATCACGTTAACTTTGATTAGCTTGGTCCCCCGGCTCATCCTTTCCAAGGCAGGAGTACATGAAGCAAAACAGGGACAGGGAACCAGGCTAAACTTTGATAAACTGGCCTGCCTGTCTGATATCGGATATGTGCTGTATACAGACAGGTGATCAGTAATGTTTAGAGTCCGCTGCTGACACGCTCATTGGCTGATAAAAACTCTCGCTGACATAGAATTTAAATTGTCAGGGAAACCAAAACAGATCACCGAGTGCAGTTCTCTGCATCTGCTTTTGATGCAATTGAATCTAATTCGGTCACAATATTTTCCACATACGATACATAATTCTTTTTTTTCTCATGGACCTATAATTATCTCACACCTTTCACCTCACCTGGGGGATTTTAATTAGTTTGCGAAGGTCCTATCACATTAATACCCTACATTACCTAGATAGAAGAAATCTGCATCATTGTTTCATTGAAACTGACATATATTAAATGTTCACTCACTGACTCAGCAGAGAGCTGCGGCTTGTCTGTTTATAGCTCTGCTGCATCTATTTTTAGAATTCCTTATCACATGTTTCAGAAGTTAGATGGGACAAACTGACCCACATGTTTCTATGTTTACATGCATATGACCAAAACCAAAACAGTGGCTTGAATCTTACTTTGTGGTGTTAATTTAGTAATATTATGGCTAACCTGTGCAAAAAAGGATGCAATAAAACACTGTTGTCATGGAATCTGCAATAGTGACTCAAAGTATGCCCACAAAAAATATATGCAAGGAGTTGAATTTATTAGATTTCCCAAACCTTGGAGAGATATTGAAAAAGTGTCAAGGATGGGTGAATGCTTGTAAACGGTTCATTGGCGGATCCAAGGGAGGGGGGTCCGGGAATTGGAAGCCCACTTTATTTTCTGTCTAGTGGAGAGAGAGAGAATGAAACATTTTCCGAGAATAAATAAAAATACATATATTTGTACGTCTAACTTATGTATTGAATAGATAGATTCTCACACATTAATTTTCTTCCATTCACTTTTCTTTCAAATGATATGATTAAAACGGTTCTATATTATATGAACCGTTTTAATCATATCATTTGAATTCAGGAACTAACATGCAACTCTTTGTTTTAAACCCAACCTGCATCCACCACGGATTTTTTTTTCAAACTCCAAAAGAAAATTCTTTGTACTCTTTGGAAATGCTGCAAATCCATTCAATTTTAATTAAGGCTTCAGCAGTTTTTTTTATTTTTTCTTTAAATTCGGACTGGGGGACCAAAGAAATAAATGGACGTAAACAGATATTATTTACCGAAACCTAAGATCTTCCATACGTGTGTGTGAATCTTTGCTTGAGAGTGTGTATGGGGGGGGGTATATGGACAGTACAACCCTGGAACCCCTCTTTCAAGAGTGGCTGGATCCGCCTCTGAAACGGGAAGGATTTTCAACGAAAATGGGTATTATCCGTAAAATCGCGTATAATACTGGATATTAGGGTATCGTTGAATCCACAATATCTAGTCAAGGCGGTGTAATCACTTTATAAAACTTGAACAATGAGATGGCATATTTTGTGGAGTCAACTTTCACCTAGATGCAAATGTTTCTAAAGGTATCACCAGTCAAGTAAGAATTTGGAAGTCAGGATTAGTGCGCACTGGACAACAAATACCTGTAGAGCTTAGTACATTTCAAGATCTGCACCCAAACAGGCGTCTGTTCTGCTTGATATTTTTCATTATGTTGGAAATATTTGGATCTTCTTTATGTTCATACCCAACACAACAGAACTATTAATTAAAAGTTGAATGTGCATGTAGATCTATGCATTGTTATATCTGAATGCTTGTATCTCAGCTCCTTTTAGTCCTGAAGAGTTAGAGATACTAAAGTACTTTTTGGCTTTCTCACATTTCAGGAAGCTCTTACCACGAGTCACTAAAGAATTGAAATTGATATAGTTTATTGCAATTAGATTGGTTTGTCCTTTTGATGAAAAATAGGAATTCAGTAAATTACATAATTAAACATTAGACCACGGTAACATAAATGAAGAAGATGTGTTTGTGAAACACTGTTGCCCCCCCCCCCCCCTATATATCCCTTACCATTCAAAAGTCATGGCCAAGGTTAAAGTTTTTTCATAAGTATAGAATATCGAAGGTCAAGGTCAAAAGGTCAAGTTTGTTAATATCCAATGAAAAGTCTTTCCACAAAAAAAAGATATATGAAGTATTAATGTCCTGGTATCTACTTTTCAAAAGATATGGCCAACTACCCTTAGGCAAATGTTGGGGTCAGAATATGAATAAAAAATTCCCAAGAGACAAACAATCATGTTCATTCCAAGCCTCCGTCTATCAGTACTTTCAGTACTTTGATTAGCTCACCTCGACGAAGTCGAGATGAGCTTATGCTATACCCCCGGCGTCGGAATCGGTGTCGGCGTTAGCGTCGGCGTCCCAGGTTAAAGTTTTAGGAGCAAGTCCATTCCCAAGTAACTATAAGCCCTACCTGAACCAAACTTGCATGGATGATGCATCTAGGGATGTACACTACCAGACTTGCTTCGGATGCTGGATCTGACCTACATTTTCTTGATGAGTGACCAGGTTAAAGTTTTTGGAGCAGGTCCATTCCCAAGGAACTATAAGCCCTACCCAGACCAAATTTGCATGGATGATGCATCTAGGGATATACACTACCAGACTTGCTTCGGATGCTGGATCTGACCTACATTTTTTAGATGAGTGACCAGGTTAAAGTTTTTGGAGCAGGTTAATGTTTTTGGAGCAGGTCCATTCCTTAGGAATTATAAGCCCTACCCGGACCAAACTTGCATGGATGATGCATCTAGGGATGTACACTACCAGACTTGCTTCGGATGCTGGATCTGACCTACATTTTCCAGATGAGTGACCAGGTTAAAGTTTTTGGAGCAGGTCTATTCCCAAGGAACTATAAGCCCTACTTGGTCCAAACTTGCATGGATGATGCATCTAGGAAAGGACACTACAAAACTTGCTTCGGATGCTGGATCTTACCTACATTTTCCAGATGAGTAACCAGGTTAAAGTTTTTGGAACAGGTCCATTCCACAGAAACTATAAGCCCTATTTGGACCAAACTTGCACTGATGATGTATCTAGGGATGGACACTACCAAACTTGCTTCGGATGCTGGATCTGACCTACATTTTCATTCCCAAGTAATTATAAGCCCTACCTGAACCAAACTTGCATGGATGATGCATCTAAGGATGGACACTGCCAGACTTGCTTCGGATGCTGGATCTGATCTACATTTTCATTCCCATGTAACTATAAGCCCTACCTGAACCAAACTTACATTGATTATGTATCTAGGGATGGACACTATCAGACTAGCTTCGGATGCTGGATCTGACCTACATTTTCATTCCCAAGTAACTAGAAGCGCTTTTTGGACTAAACTAGCATGGATGATGTATCTAGGGATGGACACTATGCTGGATCTGACCTTCATTTTCATTCTCAACTAACTATAAGCCCTAGCTAAACCAAACTTGCATGGATGATGTATCTAGGGATGGACACTACCAGACTTGCTTCGGATGCTGGATCTGACCTACATTTTCATTCCCAAGTAACTATAAGCCCTTGCTAAACCAAACTTGCACTGATGATGTATCTAGGGATGGACACTACCAGACTTGCTTCGGATGCTGGATCTGACCTACATTTTCATTCCCAAGTAACTATAAGCCCTACCTGAACCAAACTTGCATGGATGATGCATCTAAGGATGGACACTATCAGACTTGCTTCGGATGCTGGATCTGACCTATAGATATTTTCCATACAATAGACCAGGTTAAAGTTTTGGGAACAGATCAATCTGAATGAACATGAAGTCCTTGATATCTGCAGTATTAACAAAGTTATGAATATTTGTTAACACTATACATGTTTTTCACGTTACATGCATAGAAATGTGTATGCCATGTAAGGGGTTAAACACAACTTGCAAGAATATTGTTGTTGGGATGAATACTAAGTATTAAGAAAATATGATGTGAGATTTCCATTACTTAAACTGATAACATTCATCGAGGTGAGCTTCGTAATCTTTGATTACCTATGTTTACTATATTAGTTGAATTCTGTCACTATCCATTGTCTTTGGAGTACATTCTTCATTTATTTCATGTACTGGATCACTTTCACTTTTCCTGACTGACAAAGTCCTACCCATAACCTCCCCTCACTGTCCACACTCAGTCCGTAAGGTTTCTCTAATCCACAGTTGTCTATACATCTCAAGAACTGTCCATTTTGATGTAGTATGTGCAGACAGGCATTGTTATTATCTGCAACTATGATCTGACCCACAGAGTCTGTTACTATTTGTTGAGGTTGAAATGGATTTTCCATCCCTGCCGATGTACCATCGTATCTGAATCGAACTCTTCCTGATTTGCCTACCACAACCACCATATTAGCATTGACATCAGAGACACAAATGTCTCCATTGATGTTTTCATCCACAAAAGGAGTATGAAATCCATTTTTGAGGATTTGATTTCCATGTTCATCTTTTTTAATTTCTTGTTTGACTGTCTGTCCTTGATAGCGAACAATTTTATTTTCATAATGTATTTCTAGTTTAAACTCTTTGACTACAGACATTAGACTGAGACAGACCAGAATGTCACCTGATCTTGTACAGCAGAGTCCACCTGGAATCCCTGATATGGACATAAATACCTCTGACCTTCCATTTTTAACAATATAAATACATCCACTGTTAAAGTTAAGATCACTATATATCAGTTCTCCCTGATTTGTCACTGAAATGTCTCTAGCAGTAAAACCCAAACCCAAAGAATCAAATATATGGACAGATTCCTTTACAGACCCGTCTTTATTTATGCAGTATAAAGACTCTTTATTGTCAGCTAGCCAAGCTTCATCTTTACCCACACATTCCACTTTCTCTACAGATTCTTTACCAGTAGCAATGGTGGCCACCACTGTGGCTTTGTCCATTATTCCTCTGACAGATAATGAGGATGAATCAGCAGTCAGACTGGATAGTGATGTGTGTGTTAGTGTAGCCTGGTATCCTTCTATTTCTATGCTGAGTTCTCTCTCTGGTGTTTTGTTTGTTTTTAGTGAAGGAACATTAATATCAGTATGTGTAGGTTGAACAGGCATGTCTTTGAATTTCTTTAGACTGGATTTGTGGTTAGCCACTTTAGATATCCTGTTAGTTTTTAGAATTTCTTTGTTTTGTTCAACTGTTTGAATCATTTTTGGAAGAAGATTTTTAAGTTTTGACTGATGAGAATCAAGAGCAGCCAGGTTATTATCTTTCTTGGACTTGATTAGCTCACTAAATTTGTTGAAGATGGTATCCACCTCTTGCTGCCAGAATTTTCTCTGTTTTTCTGCCTCTTTCTCAAGCTCATCATATTCAGCCTTTAAATTAGACAATTTACTTTCTGTTTCTAGATTTTCTTTCTGATACCTTGGAATGATAGTGGATTCAATTTCCTGGGTTTCTTTTTCTATTTCCTTTTTCTTATCATTGAAATTTTCTGGAATATCCTTAATAATGTGACCATTATGGGTGCCAAGCATGCATTTCAGACATACAGGAACATCACACTTCTGGCAATGGACTTCACATCTCAGGTTTAGGTGAAGTTCACATTCTGGAAACACCAGCTGTATTTTCCTGTTCTTGAAAGGAACGATGTCATGTGACTGGTAACTGAGCTGGTCCACATGTTTACCGATACAGTCCACACAAAGGTTTACTTGACAGGTGTTACAGAATTGCTGGGTAGGTCTGATACAAAGGTCACAGGTGATGACCTCTTGTGCCCAGGAAGTGGCCATTTGTATTTTTCTCTGTAGGAATTCCAAACTAAAAATAATTAAAAGTCAGTTATATTTCTATTGCCCAATATCAATCCATGATAAAAAGATTAATAGTTAAAAAAAAAAAAAAAAAAAAAAAAAAGAAACAAGACTGCACTTCTTTTAGACACATGATTTCATACCTTTCATGGATATTGAATACATGTAGCTGTTTCCAATTTGTAAATTCACCACAACGGCAGTTACTTTCGGTTTAATAATTCTTCCTGGTTAGTGTTACACTGTTAGTTATGAGTCTGATTACTATGAAGTAGGTCAAACAAAGATTTTGATTGACAGAACAAGAGTAATTCCTCTTTGAACATGTTTATACAACCATATACTGTTATCAAATACTTTTAAGACACTTTTGATATATACATGTATGCTCTTGTTATTTAATAAATTTATCTTTGTTTTATCTTGTTCCATTTATATTTTTGATGCATTATCTGTATTTTAAAGGTCAATTTAAATATTTTTTAGAATAATCTTGAGTGGATATGTGAAATGTTATGCAGATATGGATGCATGCACAAATCCAGAGAGTATTTTCAATAAAATTATATTTTTCAAAGGTATTACTACAGTGATTATTGTCAATATTGAGCAAACTATTTTAACTATTTTAACATCCAAATTACTACAGTGATTATTGTCAATATTGAGCAAACTATTTTAACTATTTTAACATCCAAGTTACAAGTAAAGGTCATAGAAATAATCCTGATTCTTGACCAATCTAATTTAAAATTTACATGTGTCTTCTAAACTATTTGTCAACTACAGTTTGTGTTTTTAATAGAATTAGTTTGTAGGTTGACCAAGTGTTATTCTAAACTATTGGTGTATTCCTAAAAACCATCTTCCATGTACAATGTTTGTACTAATACATGCACAAAGTGGATAGGTTCAAAGGTACTTAAATTGTTGTGAAACTTAAAAATGTGGATGAACAGCGAAGAATAACCATAGTGTCTTGTATATGTGAATTCAATGCAGCAGCCAAAAAAAAAACCAAACAGTTGAAATGTTATATTTCAAATCATCAATATTTTAATACCATGGATATGTCAAATTGAATTAGAAGTCCCAACTACTTTCTCTTAATGTATAATGTATGTTAACCTCAGTGTCTTGTATTTTATGCTATCTCATATTTTTCTTTATCATGTTCAGTATAGCAAGGGTCAGCTATATTTTTGTGAAGACCATTAATGGTTGAATTCTGTCACTCTCCATTGTCTTTGGAGTACATTCTTCATTTATTTCATGTACTGGATCACTTTCACATTTCCTGACTGAGAACATCCTACCCATAACCTCCCCTCACTGTCCACACTCAGTCCACAAGGTTTCTCTAACCCACAATTGTCAATACATCTCAAGAACTGTCCATTGTGATGAAGTATGTGCAGACAGGCATTGTTTACATCTGCCACAAAAATCTGACCCACAGTCTGTCACTATTTGTTGAGGTTGAAATGGATTTGCCATCCCTGCTGATTCACCATTGTATCTGAATAGAACTTTTCCTGTTTTGCCTACCACAACCACCAAATCAGCATTGACATCAGAGACGCAAATGTCTCCATTAATGTTTTCATCTACAAACAGAATATTTAATCCATTTTTAAGGATTTGGTTTCCGTGTTCATCTTTATGAATTTCTTGTTTCACAGTTTGACCTTCATAGCAAACAATTTTATTTTGCCATAAATATCTATCCATGTACATGTACTTTACAAACACCAGACAGACCAGAATGTCCCCTGACCTTGTACAGCACAGCCCACCAGGAATCCAGCATCTTGATGGCGAGATCAGTAGTTCTGACCTTCTATTTTTAACAACATAAATACGTCCTCTGCTCAAATCACTATATATCAGTTCACCCTGTTTTGTCACTGAAATGTCTCTAGCACTACTATCAGACATATTTACAGTCTCTGTAATAGACACATCTTCATTTATGCAGTATAAATATGGATCATTGCCACTTTTGCCAGCTATCCAAGCTTCATCTTTATTCACACAGGCCACTCTCTCTACAGATTCTTTACCAGTAGCAATGGTGGCCACCACTGTGGCTTTGTCCATTATTCCTCTGACAGATAATGAGGATGAATCAGCAGTCAGACTGGATAGTGATGTGTGTGTTAGTGTTACCCGATGTTCCTCTAATTCTGTGCTGAGTTCTCCCTGTTGTGTTTTGTTTGATTTCAGTGAAGGAACTTTAATATGAATATGTGTAGGTAGGACAGGCATGTCTCTGTATTCTTGTAGACTGGATTTATAGTTTGTTACTTCAGATACCCTGTTAGTTTTTAGAATGTTCAACTGTTTGAATCATTTTTGAAAGAAGATTTTTGAGTTTTGACTGATGAGTTTCAAGAGGAGCCAGGTGATTCTTTTCCTTGGAATTGATTATTTCACCAATTTTGTCAAAGATGGTATCTACCTCCTGATACCAGAATTTTCTCTGTTTTTCTCTCGATCTCTTTCTCAAGCTCATCATATTCAGCCTTTGAATTTGACAGTATACTTTCTGTTTCTAAATTTTCTTTCTGGTACCTTAATTGGAATTAAAGTGGATTCAATTTCCTGAGTTTCTTTTTCTATTTCCTTTTTCTTATCATTGAAATTCTCTGGGATATCCTGAATACTGTGACCATTATGGGAACCAAGCATACATTTCAGACATACAGGAACATCACACTTCTGGCAATGGACTTCACATTTCTGGTTTAGGTGAAGTTCACATTCTGGAAACACCTGCAGCTGTATTTTCTTGTTCTTGAATGGAACGATGTCATGTGACTGGTAAGTGAGCTGGTCCACATGTTTACCAATACAGTCCACACAAAGGTTTACTTGACAGGTGTTACAGAATTGCCGGTAGGCTTGACACAGAGGTCATATGTGATGACCTCTTGTGCCCAGGAAGTGGCCATTAGTATGTTTCTCTGTAGGAATTCCAAACTAAAAATAAAAAGTTAGTCATAATTTCTGTTGCCCAATGTAAATACATCATAAAAGGATTGATAATTAAAAAAAGGAACAATACTCTGTTTCTTTCAGACACACAATTTTAAAAATACCTTTCATGGATTTTGAATAATTATATGTCCTAGCTGTTTCCAATTTTTAAATTCACCTCAATGATAGTTACTTTCGGTTTGTTGTTTAATAACTCTTACTAGTTTGTGTTGCAGTATAAGTAATGAATCTGATTACCTGTACATTATGAAGTAGGTCACACAGATAAAGACTTAATCCACGGTGGGTTTGTTCAATTT